GACATACAATATACTTACCAAATTGTAGTAAAGTTGTATTATAACTGTATGTAAATTGTATTCTGTTGTAGTTATATATTTTTTTTTATTTAAATATTGTATGAAAGTTGAAAATAGTTGTATAGTGTATGAATCGTTGTATAAAATTTTATTTAAGTTATCAATACTATCTTTTTACATAAAATTGTTGATATGTATCAAAATTGTATTAAGAGAGTAAGTTTTGATTGGAATTTTAGAGAGGGAGAAGCACACACCACATACAAAATATATACAAATCAGATACAAATTATGCAAAGACATATTGTATAAAATTTGTATGAAAATTGTATTTAAGTTGTATGATGCTGTAGTTGTATTTAACTGGGTATAAATAGTGTATGAAAGTTGTAAATAAATTATAAATAAATTGTATATTATATAGTTAGTTGTATGAAATTTATTTTTACTATCTATAAAGGGCCTGCTATAATACCATAAACTTTCACCTCTGCCATCTTTGTTTCTTAAATTTCTTCTTTTACTTGGCGAAATTAGGACGCTTAAAGAGAGCAATAATTTCATGGTTCAGTTCTTTTAAGTTTGGATTATGACTTCGTTTAGTGGAGAAATTTCAAATTATGGACTTTTCTTAAAGGATGATTTGAGCGCTTACCTCATATTATGTTCACTAATTAAAGGCCGTAATTACCTTTAGGAGAATATGAGTTAACATTTGTTAGTTATTTCATATTTGTATATGAAAATTTATTCTATATTGTTTAAAGTTTTTCTTTCATTGATTCACATAATGAATTTCTTGTTAAGAGTGTAGTACATGGCTGATGACACAAAATTAAGATTTAAGTGTTGGGGAAATACAGTATGAACTTCCAAAAAAAAAAAAGGAAAAGGAAAAGGAAAAATAAAAGGATTTATTATTCATTTTTGACTTCCCTAGGTAACAACAAAATTCACCATGTTTAGGAACACATTTGTAATGGCTTAAAAATTATGTTTAGAACTCAAAACGTGATTTTTAAGGCGTTTGATGACCTAAATTCCTGATTATTTGGCATCTAGAACAATTAATTTTTCCTAGAATAATGTTTTAAAAACTAAATTTTTAGATACTTTGTAGGAACATACTAAATATTATAAAGTTATACTCACGTTACTATTTTAGCTGCCAAACAGATGATAATTTCATCGTCGTCGAAATCATGTTTATTAAAATTTGTCTACTTTCGGTGAGAAGTTCCACATAGTCTACGTAGATATTCAACAAAAACAGTCTATGTAGATATTCAACGAGAAGAGAGAAAAAAGGAAAAAAAAGTGTAACTAAATCCCCTAATTTAAAATACTAATAAATAATTGTAAAGAAAACACAGTTAGGTCGGGTAATATAAAAATGTAGAACAATTTTGGTAAATAAGTTTTGTATAGTAACAAAAAAATCTCTTTCAGAATGTTGTCAGGACATTCTTTCGGAAAAAGAACTGGCCCGAAGGCCCACCTTCAGGCAAAAGGGCGAGAATTACTGGGCTTTCAGCAGCTTCTTCTGGAGTCAAAGACCCAGTATTACAAGTAATATCTGTTTTCGTATAGCCCGGACAAATACAGTTGACACATATAGAAGAATACTTTTGGGGTACAATTCTTGTGTAAGTATTCAAGGCCGCTTTTGAGACTTTATAAGCTGCCATATCTATGGGCCAACCTTTTTCTTCTAATAAACCCTTCTTGAAATCCATAAGAAACTCATTCAATACTTCATCCACTTTTTCTGTTGTAAGGCCTTCTACATCATTTAAAGCTTTTATGGCCCATTCATTTGATACCAGCTGAAAAGATATTTCAACCAACAAAAAGAATTAACTTAAATAGCCCACCTAACCGCTTAAATTAGAAATAGTTAACGGGGTCTATAATATATATAATTCATGTATAATTGTATATAATATGGATATAACCAATGCATATTGGTTAGGAAAAGTAAATAGTAAATCCGGCAGGCTATTTGTGTGATGATCCCTTTCAGAAACGGGAAGGAGAAAGAAAAAAAAAGGCAATAAAAATGCAAGAAAAAAATGTGATATTGTGAGCTGCAACTTGTTCCTTTTTTATTGTAAATATTTGATTCTTAGTACTTCTGGTGGGATTATATTGGGTACGTTATTATTGTTGTATTTTATTCTTAGTACATATCTCAAATTAGGTACTACATTTTGAATTTTGAGGTAAACGTAATAATTTTGGCCCTAATAATTCAAATGTTGTTGGACACTATGAAACCTACACAATATTTTAGACATATATATCTTATATTTATTTGATTGGTGCAGTCGCCGTGGTGCAGATAAACTTTTACCATATTTTACTAAGTTTGTTATTAGCAAATGGACAAGGAGAAAAAAGGGAATTTCTATGTTTTAGAGGAAATTGTCCAAAGGTCAAGTTAGGAGTACCTTTAATTTTCCAAGCAGTGAAGAAATATTAACAACCCTTGGTAAAGGAGACAAGAGTAGTAGTGGAATAAAGGCTTCAATCATTCTTTTTGCTCCATAATAATTAGTGGTTACACATTCTTCTGCCCATTCATAAGTCTCAGTGAGTTTCCCATTTGACTTGATTGGAGCTTCATCCTCCTGCATTAATTAGTATATGTGAGAGTTAACCACATCAAAAGATTTAATACAAAATTCAATTTTTTAATTACTATCAATGAGTACATTTTTCACACAATTGTATTGTTTATGGAATTGTCTAATTTCCTAGGGAGAGGATGATAGCTTAGAGAGATATAATTCGAACCTTAGCTTCCGCTTGGCCATAAAATTAGGGAGTTTTTTTAAAAAAATTATTTTCAAATATCTGTTTGTTTATAGATTTAAGCTATTTTTGGCAGATTTTGAAAACAAAATCTTTAAATTTCAAAAGTATTTATAGAGTAGTTTTTGAAGTTTTCTACTCACAAAACTTCAAATTCTTTTCAATTGAAATGCATATCCAAACACAATTTTAACTTTCAAAAACTACTTTACATCTCATCTTCATAAACTTATTTTTTCAAGTTTCAAAACTTATGTTCAAACGGTAGCTAGCTTAATATATGAATATGGAATCTAGTGACCTCATAATTCTGATGTTCAAGTGGACTTTTCATATTTTCCTTAATAACTATGTGGAATTGTTATAAGAAAAATGACACTTAACCTAATGTTATTGCACCTACTGGTTAAATAAACTTTGAAATAGGTGGCTATATTAACATGACATAAGCTTCAAAGTAATGGCTACAAGACTCTAATATTCACAAATGAGAAAAGGATAGTATGTCCAAACTCGATAGATCATTTACTCAACAAATTATGCTTCAACCTTATATAAAGTTAGGGTTGATTATATGAATCTTTAAAACAAATCCAGTAATATCGGGTTGTTATGAAAATGTGACGAGAAATTAAAGGAAAATATATGAAGTAATTAACCTCAGTTGTAATGCCTAAACCTCGAGCAGCATCTCGTTCTATTAGCTCCGGAAGGATTGAAACATCCCCCTCAATCATTAGTCCATTAATTCCTGCATTATTTACCTGTAAATATCCACTTTCACACTTTCTTAATTACCAATTAGGGAAGGTTTTTTCAAAAAATAAAAAGAAAAAAAATGTGGAAGGTAAAGTGAACAAGCTATCTTTCTCCTGAATATATCTCGTGGAAAAATAAAAATAAACTGAAAATTAATTAAATCGCAACTCGTACAAATAGATTATGATGGTTTAGTTTAGTTCTAAAGTTAATTAATCAACTCATAAGAATAACCCTTCAATTACGTAATGTTGTCTCATATTAGAGTTAAATTAAAGTAAACTTGTCTCGTTTTTCTGTTTTTTGAGAGTTCCAATAAACAAAAATTTCTTAACAAATCAAGTACTTGCAAATATTTTGATATGTTTCATATGCTTATTAAATAGATATTTCCAAATGTTTAACTTTTATTCTATGTATTAATAGTATAATAAATTTTTTGTACTAATAAATACATTAGTATATGTGATTAATCATTTTTAAAGCGCGTGATTAGTAATTCAAAAACTAAACAAATTATTTACAATTGATGTAGATTTTCTATCAAACAAAAAAAAATGTATAGAAGATAGATTTTGGTCCACATATGTGGGGACTTTCTATGTCTCCACTGCTCGTCCACTAAACTCCAACTTGACAAGAAACAAAACGATATGATAAATGCATATTATAGTCTGTTTATTTTCAATGAATGTTGGGTTAAACGATGTTAATTAATCTCATTACAAAAAGATTAGATAACTAATTCAAGGATAAATATATATTATACTCTTTTTATTTTCAATGTATCTTGGATTAAACGATATTAATTAATCTCATTACAAAAGATTAGATAACTAATTAAAGGATAAATATTTGGATAAATTTCACATATTGTCAAACTAGCTTTCGTTTTTTTCCTCTTATTTTGCAGTAAAGTCAAAACTTAATTTTTGTCACTTAAAAATGAATATATTTTTACTTTTTTTTTTCGCTAAGGAAAAGAAATACTTCATCACTTAAAGAAAAATCAAATTTAGTTATTACAAAGTAGGGACAGAGACCCTTCCCAATTATTGAAAGTAGGGGGCAAAAAATTCGAAAAACTGAACCAAACCGAAAATCGAACCAAATCAACCAAAAAAATCAATACTTTTTAGGTTTGGTTTGTTTTGGTTTTGAATTTTAAAAATCAATCAAATTTGATTTGGTTGGTTTTAATCAAAAAATAACCAAAAAAAATCGAAACAAATCGACTATAAAAGTAGCTATTTAAATTTATTATTACACCTATATATATATATATATATATATATATAAAAGTTCTAAAATTTTATGGTACATATTAGTAGTTTATATTTTTAGTCTAGTTTTTTGCTATTATAATAATCTAATTCATTAACTTTACATTCTAGTTTGGTTGGTAGTTTTCTATTGCTAAGTACAAGAATTTATTTCATGTTAAAAATAATCTATTTTTAATTGAGTACTTAAATTATTCATCACTATTTGATTCAATTATCATTAATATATCTTGGTAAATGATACATTGTAGTCTCCGGAATATGTGTTTGGTAGTGTATGTCTCGTATTTAAGAAAAAACCCGATAAATAACCGAAAAAATCAAAAAACCGAATTGATAAAAAACCGACTTAATTAGTAATTTAGTTTGATATTTGAAGAACCAACTTAATTGATTTGATTTCTTTTTAGAAAAAATCAGATGCAAACCGAACCAAGAAAACCACTAACCGAAACCATTTAAAATAAAGGGTGGAAGTGTTTTGTGTTGTCCGCTTCTGTATTTGGTGGAGTCAAATTCTGTCCATAAATTTTTACTACGTTGTTCCGAAAATCAAAATGCTCAAAAAAAACCCTATCTGACCTCCGAAAAGCCACATTAGGCATGCCATGTCAACCTTGAGAATTTATGATTAGTGAACGTACAATTTATCGCAATAAAGATATAGAACTCGATACATTATCATTTTCATCAGATAAAAATTATTCCCTTCCACCAATTACTCGATAATATTTATCTGATATTTTTTATCGGATAATTGATATCGGGCGAAAAACACTCTTTAAACATTAGAAAAAGTTATATTAAGGATATGGATAGTAAGACTGTTTTCCTTCACAAGGTTTAAAATCAAAAGAAGTATGAAACTACGTACTTCCTCGGTCCTAATTTATGTGATGCTCTTCGAATTTCATTTTGATTGTAAATTTGCACATATAGAATATTTAAATAATTTTAATTAAAATTCATATTTGTTTTTGAAAACCACACAACAAATAGTTTAAGTCACAATAATAAAAATTTAAAATATTTTAAAAATTATACGAAAATTATTTGACTCTAGAAATTCGAACTCCATTTCATACATTAAACAAAGGAGTAAATCCTATTTGAGAACATATATATCTTGTAGTGTATAATAGGAAAAGGGAGATGTTACCAGAATATCAAGCTTTCCATATTTGGATTTGATGAAATCAAACAGAGAGGAAATACTAGCTGGATCCACAACATCAACTTGATGAAACACAACAAGATTCTGAGTTAATTCTTGAGAAGAAGACTCTCTCATCAGCTTTTCAACAGCTTCTTTTCCTCTTTTCTCATCCCTAGCTGTTAACACTACCATAACTCCTTTCTTCATTAGCTGCCTGCAAATCTCATATCCTATTCCTTTGTTTCCCCCTGTAACTACTGCATACCTGAAAAAAGAATATAATAAAAAGGAGCTAGAGGCAAAAATTTACTAAAAGAAAGAAATATATTAAAGCCAGGCAAGGATTTAAAGAAAACTTGCTTTCTTGTTTGATGCTTGTTTATGGACTCTTCTGCCATTTTTACTTCTTCTTCTGCACAACTCTCTGTTGGATGTGCTAATTTTCTGAGGGAAGAAACTACGGAGAGGTTCAGGTATATATATAATTATATATATATAGTGGTAAGTGGTGTTAGGAACTCAGAACCTAGGGGTAATATAATAAGACAGGAAAGAACTTATTGCGGATACCAAATTTAAATTTGATGGATTTAATGTTAACATTTTTAGCACAAAAGTTACTGTACTTTTAAATTAATTATGGGTTTCAGAATTTGATTTTTGTTGCAATTTTAATTATTTCCATATATAAATCAATTATTATGATGATGACATAAGTTTAAATAGAGAAAAATAGTTAGTAAAAATTTATAAAATCGACCTCAACTTATTTAGAATAAAGACATAATAGTTGTTGTTTGTATATATTATCATTATTGTTCCGTGTTTAAATACTTAGTTCAATTAAACTCATAGTTAATATTCTCCAATCGTATGTGCTTACATACATATGGTGTTTATACCAACCTACTGCATTTTACTTCGTTAAGTGATAAAAATACTTGAAGTGAGTATGTGTGCTAGTTAATTAAGTGAAAATAATATAATAAAGACACATATATCATATATTCATTTGGTCAGTGGAAACGCTGAGTGTGCATAATGTATTTTTCTAAAACTAGATTACTTTTCAAAAAGCAGTAACTTTACTTTCTCTCTTCTTATTTCCAATATATGTGATATTCTTTTTTTTTTATATATAATTTAGTCCCCCAAAAAATGTTATACTTCTTTATTTAGAAATAATTTAATTTTAAGCTTCTCAGTTTATCCTTAATGAAATGATTTATAGCCACACAAATTAAAACGGAGGGAATAAAAAAGATATGTTTGAAGATGGTCAAACAATTTAATTTTTGTTGCAATTTGAACATTGACGCCTATATATTTTGTTTTAAATAATGGAAGTTACATAGATAGTATTCTAAGTCATAAATTTTATAAATATAAATATTAAAATGAAAAGTTGGACATTTCAAGCAGTAATACAATCAAATTAAGATTGAATAAAAAATTTATTTATTCCGGTTGATGTGTGTTCAATATAATATGGGGACTTCAACAAAAGATTTAAAAAGTCCACACGTGGAACACTGAAATGAGAACGGGTCAATTGATTTTTTTGGCTCTTTACAAATTTGTTTTTAGTTTTATGACCTTATTTTTTTTTTTTTTTACACATGGGAGATTTATTTTTACACGTAAGAGATCGTCTTTTACACACAAGAGATCTAAAAAAGACATTTTCCTAAATTCAAAATTGTAAAGGGGCATGGTGTACAAATAGCACAACGAAGAACGACATACATAATTATACATTGAAATTATTCGGAATTCTACAATGAAGATAAATTTTGTATGGATATGATGTTTGCCAATTTTTTATTTAATTTTCGAAAACGACTCCAATTATTGAGGTTGCTGAAATTTTATAATCGAGAAAATTGAAAAACGCAACCTAGAATACTTTTCCCATCAATATTAAGAATATCAAACCAGATTGCAATTTAAATATAGCAACATGATGTTTGAAGACAATGTAGAATGGAATGACAAAGACATATATAATTAAATATGTCAAGATTAAGAATTTTCAAAAGAAGAATATTTTGTATGGATTTGATACTTGAATTATGATTATAACTTTTGTCGCCGAACAATAACAACAACAAACCCAGTAGTCTCCAACGAGTGGGGTCTGGGAGGGTTACCCCTACCCTGGAACGGCAGAGAGGTTGTTTTGTCATCGAACAATCATCATCAAAACATGTCTTTCTCTCCTCTCTCCCAAATCCCTAACCTGCCGCTTCCCTAGAACCTAAACCCACAGCATCCTTTCCCCCGTTGATATCCGGAGTTCAAGCCGGAGGCCAAATAACCCTACTCACCAACCCCATAGAACCAAACACAACCGCAACAAATTATGCAGCAACAATTGCAGGGCGAATGCATGGTGGTATGAAGAAATTGATATGTTTAGAACCCAGGCCATACGAAATAGTGGATGGTAAGGCTAGGGTGATCTTTACCAAGGAGGAAGATGATCCTTTGGCAGAAAAATGCCACCTCACCGTGGTAGAAAAATTCCCTCGAACTCGTCCCTAGATTGACAAACCCAGGGATGAGTTTAAGAGACTGGTGCCTCTAAAACGAACTTTTAAGATTGGCATTAAGGATTGGAGGCACGTCTTTATTGATTTTACTGATGAAGAGGATTTTAAGAGATTCTATGGAAGGCAATCAATGCCAATTTGTGGAATGTTGATGCGAGTCCGTAGATGGACTCGTGACTTCAAAGCGGATATGGAATCTACTTTGACACCGGTATTGATAACGCTGCCAGATCTCCCATGGAAATACTATGATTGGCCAGCTTTGGATAGAATCTTAGACCCAATTGGCATGCTAATTGCCTTGGACAAAGCTACACTTGACCTACAATTACCAAGGCACGAATAAAAAGCGACTTGACTAGGCTTAGGCTCAACGAGGTTGAAGTTGCATTGCTAGATAACTCCGGGGAATTCAAACCTTCCTTCAACCTGTGGAATATGAGCAAGTGTCGAATTATTATTTTTATTGTAAGATGCAAGGGCATTCTGATGCTGAATGTAGATTACAACAGGTCAAGGAGCCTGCTAGGATGGAAAGTTGAAGGAGGTTGTTCAATATTATATCGACAAAAAATAAGAATGTGTGGAAGTAACTAGTTCAAAGAAAAATATTGTTGGTAAGAATAGAAAGAATCAAGAAAAAGAGGGTAGCGACAAACAGATCCAAGAGACACATGAGACACTTTGTAATGACACAATCCCATTGAAGCTAAGTAATGACTTTAGTGCTATAGAGGTTATAGAATCTGACAAGCAAGACATATATGGGGATACTACAATTCAGGAAGATGGGGTCGTGGTTCCTACATATGACCATATTCCAGTGACAAAGAGAACAAGTATAGAGGAGATGTCGAGAAAAAAAACATAAGAATGTGAAGAAAAATAAGAAGAAGAAAGGCATGTTCTATTACTAAAAAAAAGAGCAAAAAGAAGAGAATCATAGTGTCAGAACATATGGAAGAAAAAATACAGACAATAGGGAAAGAACTTAATAATGTTGTTATAGATCAAACGAGAAAGTTGTCTGCGGAGAAAAAATAGAAGTTTAAGTCTAGAATCAACCAGCTAAATGTACCAGAGACCGAATTGCCGGAATCAAATGCTGGGAAGATTGATTTTCCAGTGTTGAATCTAAACAATGAGGATTCACTTGGGTAAAATCAATAACGGAGTCTGAATACTGAGCTAGAACTAGTAGTGCACTCTGGGACTCCTAGAATGTATTCAAAACTAGGAGCAGCGATGTCGGAAAGTAACAAGGAGCAGAACACAAATATGATGCAAACAGAAGTAAGGAAAAACTTTGACAATCTAGATGAGGAGATGCTTCATTTACAGGATGTCGAAGTGGAGGTCAGGTCAGACGATGAATTTGCATGAAGACTTCATAGATCGATCAATTTTGATACTGTGGACGCTACACATAGTGTTCAAGACATAATAACAAAGTTCAATAACTTATCTCCAAGGGGGGACTCAAAATATTGGTGGAGTTAATGGACCTTTGCCTTCTTTTAAGGCCCCGAAGACAAACAGAAAGAAAACAAAAAATCCAACCCCTGATGTTTCTCATGATTAACACAATTTCATGGAATACTAGGGGCATGAAGGCCCAAAAAGCATCTGAGAGACTTAAAACTCTCAAGCTTAAACATAACCTTACTTTTATGGCTCTACAAGAACCCATGACAAAATCTACTAAGATAGGAAGATTTCATAGGCAACTTAGAGTACAACATAGATTTTTCAATTGTAACAATAAGATTTGGCTATTTTGGACTGACGATCATGTGGTAAATATTTTAGAGGACACCGAACAATAAGTAACATGCTAGATCAGCCATCATTTGAGCCAAACACCAATGCATCTGATAGTTGTGTATGCAAAATGCAACGCTCACTTGAGGCAATAACTATAGGAAGAATTAAGGTCGATGGCAAATAGAATTCATGGAACTTGGGGGTAGTTAGAGATTTCAATGTGATCATTGATGTGTCTGAAGATAGGGGTGGAAGACCATATAGAATAGAGAAAAATAGTGATTTCCTGAATTTTATTGACGAATGTAGACTATAGGATGCATGTCTCTATGGCTCGGTGTACACATGGAGTGATAATAGAGAACTACCAAATACTATATAGAAAAGGTTAGATAGGTTATTGATTAACATAGAGTAGTCTTATGAATTCTTGAAAACCTCAGTATAGCACCTGGCTAGAGTGTGCTCAGACCATGCACCATTATCGATCAATATGAGAAAAGTCACTATAGCTTGTCCAAGTACATTAAATTTCTTAATTTTTGGACAAAATATGAAGAGTTTATAACAATGGTGAAAAGTCTAGCAGGAGCCTGTAGAGGAAAATGCCTTATGGATACTAAAAAAAAAAAAAAAAAGTTTGCAAACGATTGAGCATCTGGTCAAGGCAAGATTTTTGAGATATATATGAGGAACCAAAAAGACTAAAAAAAAAGATAAATGATTTGGAAGTACTACACATTGATAATAATACACCTGCATAGAGAGTAGAACTAAATGAAGCTAACGCGAAGTATGTTCACTACCTAAAGCTTTAAAAGGAGGTATTGATATAAAAAAGCCAAAACACAATGATTAGAGGAAGGAGATAAGAATAATGCCTACTTTCATAGCATTATAAAGGGTAGAAGGAGAAGACTAACTATTAAGAAGATTCAAGATGAAGAGGGAAAATGGAGAGAAGGGGGAAAAGAAACCTCAGAAGTGGCCATAAACTACTTTCAAAAGATTTTCAACCATGGTAACGTGACAAATGACTTCTCAGCATTGGAGTGCATCAGTTCTAAAGTTTGGGAGGATAATGAGATGTTAACTGCTCTGCCTACTCTAGAGAAAACCAAAGAAAATGTATTCTCAATCGATCCAACTAGTGCTCCGGGTCCAA